TCACCATTTAAAATGAAAAAAAGGAAAAGAAAAAGGAAAACAGTAACAGCAGATGAAGAGAGTACCTCAACGATAATTAATATTGAACTACTAAGAGCCGCATATTAGTTTAACTTTCAGCAGATTCCAATTCAGATTTGAAAAAGCTCAAGATTTTTGTTTGCACCTGTTAAATACTCAAACTGACTCACCTCCACTATCATGTTATACCAAGTATTAACTCTTGGAGCTGATTATCATTTGACATTTTTGAAGCATATACACTGCCACAACATTCTATCAATTTTGACCAACTAGTTTTACTATTCCCAGGGCTTTCTGTCAAAAGTCAAAAACCAAGTAGTGTGGCTTACTTGGAATGTTAGTACAAAGATTCTGGCTTCAGAAAGTTTAAATCCCAACAGTGATATCAATCAGATTTCAGAAACTTAGTAACCCAAAGTCTACTAAATGTTATGTTTTTTAGCCATGTAGTGTTCAACAAAAACAGAAGATTATGCATGTGGCAAAGGTCATAACCCCAACTTTAATAAGCAATGAGCCAATGACCAATAGGAACGTTACTAAAACCAAAAAAAGACAATAATCCCTAAAAAGAATTATCACCAGTTTTTATCATGATTTACAAAACAAACTACCAGTTCAAGGCTTCTAGCCGTAATAAAGGGGCAAAATCCACGCAATGCAGATAAGGTTCTCCAGTAGCACAGTTCTACTAGTTCGTTTTAAACTCGGAAACCACGTGATTAGTATGTGCTTCTCATAGCCCAACCCAGTTACGCGTCCCTTCTGCAAATTATATTCCTTAGGGACTTTAGCCATGTCACAGATTCCAAAGTTCCATGGTTAACGATAGTTTCTCACCTAAACCTCTAGTTTATCAATTTTTTTCTTTTATTTTATTACTAGTTGTCCGGGCCAGCTTACGCGCACCTCGACTAATCCTAGGAACCATAAACCCACCGTCCCTTATTCACATGGTAAACATGGAAGTTAAACCAAAAACAGGCAAAAATACACGAAGCAGATAATTGTGTATAAGGGAAAAAAACAAAAACACAACTTCTGTAGGGGCTAAAGAATTTAAACCACTAATTGATGTAGCTAAAACTTAAGTTCACGTCTTCTCTAATTTTGAGATGAAGTCTCCGTTTTCCTTTACAAACAAAGCAAGTCAAGCTCATGAGCGAAAAACCTCTTGAATAAGGAATGAAAAACTGAAACGCATCGAAGCAAGCCCTCGCGACAAAGCCTAACCACACACACAAAAATAATAATGCTAGACGTAGAAGAAGGAAAGAAGAAGAAAAGGCCCACCTTTGGCGTCTCAGAGTTGCGCAACTAAACCCTAGACTGTGAGGAAATGAAGAACCCTAGATTAGCTGGGTGTGTTTACATGAACGATTTTCTTCTCAACTTGACAAGGGCAGCCGGGCAGGGGAATCTGGAGTGGATCATAATCCCAGCCGAAAGTTTTCTTTTGGGTAATTTACACCAACCTCCCTCGAGGTTTCTTACAAATACACCGGCTCCCAACCTTTTAGTAACTAATTACATCGGCCTCCCTTGGATGTGAATAAAGTGGATCAGTTAGATCCACTCCCTTGGTCTTCGGTTAGATTTGAGTATTCCGGTTAATGAGCTTGAAAAGAACTTTGCGTAAGTTCCCTCTAGGGAAATCCATACCAAAAGAATTCTTTTGGGAACTAAATTGTTGAAGGGTAAATTGATTTGACAGTAACTTTAACAAGAAATTTATTTTGCTTAATGACAAAATGGGGTACAGTTATGAGGGCAAACTTAAGAGCGAAATGGGATATACACAAAGTGTTTTAAGGTCATTAACTCGAAATCCACAAATCTAATGGAAGACTTACACAGTGGATCTAACCAATCTCATTATTTCCATCCAATGGAGGTTAGTGTAATTAGTTGAAAGATTTGGGGCATAGTGTATTGGTCACAAACCTCAGGCGAGGTTGGTATAAATTACCCCTTTTATTTTGTACCAAAATGAAAATGCTGCGATGGTACCTATGTCGAGACCGAAGGTAAAATCCTACCATAATTGAATGGTGTTTGAAGGATATTTGGTCCTAATAAAAGACTACAGGGACTTAAACATGAACATTGTCCAACCAGATTTGAGTTTCCACCGAACCAAACCCCTATTGGTCCAACAGAAAGTTTGTTGTCAAAGCAAATGTACAATAAAGCCCAATATTCTTCGTGAGTTGAAGGCATATGGAGCCAATACTGTTGTTAGGTGAAAAATAAAAAAAGAGAATTGGTACAATACATGAAATCCGGTTAATGAAAGTGTCCATGAAAGAAAATGAATAGTTTAAATTTATAGCACTGTGAATTTGGACTATTCTTTTGCTTTCATGGATCGGATTTCATATATCTTAGTATATTTTTTGGGAAAATATGTCTGGGCTTTGTATTGGCAAAAAGTTCGTAACTACTGTTAAAAATCAGCACCAACATCCCAAACAGACACCAATTTCGGCATCCCCAAAATCAGCAACCCACGGGTTTACTCGTGCAATGTAGTGATCATTGGACAAAATAAAATATGCACACATTTCACTCAATTTTAAAAAATTAAAAAAAATTCATGTAGACAAAAGCATTTATAGTTTGTACAAAATACTAGTCTTTAACAAAATCCTTGTGCAACAAAATCATCGCGATTCCGATCCCCGCTGCCACCTTCTCCCTCTTAATCTCGAGTAAAAAGTTAAAAACGCTTAGACCCTGTTTAGTTATCGTTAAACACTTCTAAGAAACTAGTTTGAAAATTAAATCCCTCATGGTTGATACATCTAATAATTCCAAAAGAGCAACTTTTGAACACCATCAAACAAACAAGTTTCAAGAAAGCAATCTGCAGACTAGACAATGTGACCAGCAACCAAACAGGCAGTTCACGTTTCTATTACCCAAAAAACAAAAAATAACAAATAAAAAACAAATGACGAGCTTATGAGACCTGTAAATAACAAAAACCGTAACTAAACAATTTTAAAAGAAAAATTCTCGAATGTGTTGGAAATCTGAACTAAAGCACATCCTTCGAACAAAATAAAGTAAAAACACTCAAAAGAGACCCGTAAATAACAAAAACCGTAACTAAACAATTTTAAAAGAAAAATTCTCGAATGTGTTGGAAATCTGAACTAAAGCACATCCTTCGAACAAAATAAAGTAAAAACACTCAAAAATCCAACTTATCCAACCAATTCTCATAGTATACACAGGTATTTGGCGAGATAATGCCATCAGGTGTGCACTGATTTATCCGGGGACAAACGCCGCATGGAATTGAAGCCATAGCGCCAATTTTTGCCCCTTGTCCTAGCCCCATCCCGCTTGCAGCTCTATAACAGTCAGTTCCAATAGGAATTTTATGATATTCCCCTAATCCAGTGCTCTTAACCTCAATAATCTCACTGTCTAAAACCATAGAATTCAGTATCTCTTCAATTTGCTGTCTTGTGCAATCAGCCTTGGTGATTTTATTCCTAGTGATAAACTCGGATATTCCTTCTGTTGTAGCAACCTTCAACTTCTTTACGATTCTTAAGCATGACTCTCTCAGAACACGAATGTATTCTATATCAAGAACACCATCCGCATACCATGAACCACCGGTGACTTCCTTTGAGGGTTGAAACTCAGTAGCCATGTAATGTTTTCTCCCCTTGCTTTTGACATTAACGACCTCTTTTATCAAATTTCTGCCTTGGAGTATCTTGAGGGCTTTATTCACCACGGGTTCAGGAAGATTCGTCTCCCGTTTCATGTCTGCTTTCCAGATTCCCATATCTCCTTTACTTTTGATAAGACTTAATAGTACACTCTCAGGTGTCTTAGTTTGTTGTGCATTTGGTTCTTGTCGTTTCCGCTTAAGGGGCATAGCGTCCTGGGATCGACTCATCCTTGTCAAAAGAACATACAATCAGCTGTTCAAAAAATACAATTAGAACACATAATTTGGGTAAGCCCAGTGAGCGCATGAAAATTCTACATAAACTATAAAGAACCTAAACCTCTTGTGGCGAGATCTGATTTAAGAACTTTCAGGACTCTGAACAGAATGTACAACAGTAAAAGAGATCACATGATTGTGATGAAAGAAAGACAAGTGGAGAGAGAGACACAGTGTTTCTTTCACTAATTTCACAACTACATCTTGAATTAACATGATTATTTTGCATGCATAAACATTTTCTAACACACACATGCATACTGATGTACATATAGTCATGCTAACAACCGTCCATTTGGCAGCTTTAGCTGAATTAAGGTTTCAAGAATGACATATCTTCAATGTCATGATCTTATACTTTAGCTTCTTTGTTATAAGTTCTCTGATTCCAGTGAGCGCATGAAAATTCTACATAAACTATAAAGAACCTAAGCCTCTTGTGGCGAGATCTGATTTAAGAACTTTCAGGACTCTGAACAGAATGTACAACAGTAAAAGAGATCACATGATTGTGATGAAAGAAAGACAAGTGGAGAGAGAGACAGTTTTTCTTTCACTAATTTCACAACTACATCTTGAATTAACATGATTATTTCGCATGCATAAACATTTTCTAACACACACATGCATACCGATGTACCTATAGTCATGCTAACAACCGTCCATTTGGCAGCTTTAGCTGAATTAAGGTTTCAAGAATGACATATCTTCAATGTCATGATCTTATACTTTAGCTTCTTTGTTATAAGTTCTCTGATTAGCTATGCCATTAGTATAGGACCTCACTGAATTCCTTAGCAGAAAATTAACTTACGAACACTTTCATTGCGAGAGACTTTGGCCTTGATCACTATCCTAGAGTGATACCTTACATCAAAGAAAGGCCAGTGCTCGATCAAAAAATAAAAATACTGGCTATTCATTCAAGAGCTCCAAAACCATATTTCCATCTTCTTCTTCTTTTGTTGCAAGGTATGGTGTTGTACTTTTATAAATAGGGTAACCATTCCCCACGTTTTGAACCTACGACCAGTCAGTTAACAGCCGACTGCTCAACCACTGAGCTACTGAGGAAGAACTGACTTAAAGAAGCCGACTCTCGTTCTTTGGACCATCATGTATTGTTAAAAAAGAGTTGATTCAGCATCACTTCACAATCTTGCACTATCTTGGAACATAGTTCTAGCCATGAAAAAAGGGAGAAAATCCAAGCAATGCAGATAAGGTTCACCAATATTACAGTTATATTAGTCGTTTCAAACTTGGAAACCACATGATCACTATGTGCTTCTCATAACCCAACCCAGATATGGAGTCCCTTCTGCAAATTATATGGCTTAGGGACTTTAGCTATGTCACAGAGCCCAAAGTTCGATCATTAAAAGATAGTTTCTCACCTAAACCTCTGGTATCAATTGCATTGCTTATTCACCAGGTAAACATGAAATTTAGGCTCCGTTTTCTTACCATAATATTTTTTCCTGTAAAACATTTTATCTATTTTCCTATGTTTGGTAGTACAAATTATAGGAAAAATATTTTCCTCGTCAAATCTTTTCTGCCAATGGAGGCAAAAATGACTTACCCCGGAGAATTCTGTTAGTTATTTTCCAGTGCATCTCCCGTCCAACTACCCAAGCATCTCTATCACTCTCATTCATTCTCCTCATCTCAATTCAGTTTATATACCTCAAATTCATCAATTTATACACACGCACATACACACAAAATTAATTGGTCGGGTGACCATAGCAACCTACAACAATGAATACAAATCCCTCCTACAGCTTCTCTTTTCCACTATTAAGTTTTATTTCTACGAATACTTATTAACAATCAACCAGACATTGAAAAACAAAAATGGAAATTTTCTTTTATGCCAAAACAATTTTACATGCAAGATAATTGAAACAAGCGGAGCCTTAAAGCAAAAACAGGCAAAAATACATGAAGTTAAGAGAATTGTTCATAACGAAAAAAAAACCTTCTGTAGGTGCTAAGGAATTTAAACCACTAATTGATATAGCTAAAACTTAAGTTCACATACTCCGTTTTCCTTTATACTAAGTTTATACGAACAACAGAGGAAAAACAAACTCATGTGCAAAAAAAAAAACACTTGAATAAGGAATTAAAAAACTGAAATACACTGCAGCAAGCCCTCGAAACAAAGCCTAACCACGAAAACTAATGATAGGCATTGAAGAAGGGAAGAAGAATAAAAGGCCCACCTTTGGCGTCGTAGAGCTCCGTAATTAAGCCCTAGATTTTGAGCAAATGGAAAGCCCTAGATTTTGAGCGAATGGAAAACCCTAGATTTGCAGGGTCTGTTTACCGGAACGATCTTCTTCTCTACTTCAAACGGCAGCCGGAGGGGACTCTGGATTCATAATCCCAGCCAAAAGTTTTTTCTACAGTATTTATTTTCTTCGTAATTTACACCAATCTCCCCTGAGTTTTCTTACAAATACGTTGGCCCCCCTACCTTTAACTAATTACACCGGCCTCCCTTAAATGTGAATGATCTTGTAGATCCACTCCCGTAGTCTTCGGTTAGATTTAAGGATTCCAAGTGGAAGGTGTTCCACTTTTTAAAAAAGTACATTTTTTTCAATCGAATGTAATTTCAAATTCAAATATAATAAAAATGAAAAATATTTTTTCAAATTTTTTTGCACCGTTTAAAAGATCTTAATGAGATCTATCAAATAAGATCCATATTGGTAGAAAAATTATTTGCGTAAACACATGATTTTTGAGCTTGAAAAACCTTCTTTTTTCAAAAATTATTTTTACTGTTGAATTGGAACGAGAGTTTATATAAACTCTGCATAGCTCCTATTCTTAAGTTTCCCTTTGAGAATCCATACGAGAGGAATTAAGATTTTTCTAGACTAAATTGATTGGAGAGTAAATTAATTTGGTTGTACTTTGACTTTTAGGAACCAAAGAAATTTACTATTTGCTTAAAGGCAGAATGACGCGCAATAATTTAAGAAGAAACTTAAGAGTAAAATGGGAGCTAGAAAAAGTTTTTTTTTTTTTTAAGTTTGGAATCCACAAATCTAACGAAAGACGAACAAGGTGGATCTAACTAATCTATGTATTCACATTCAAGAAAGGTCGGTGTGATTAGTTGAAGGGTTTGGGACACAGTGTATTTGTCAAAAATCTCAAGAAAGGTTGGTGTAAATTATCCTCTCCCTTATTTACGAAAACGTAACTGCTGCCATGGCATCCGTAACCTCTGCCTTAGAATATTGCTTCGTCATACCACACCACTATTAATAGGAGATCCAAATGCACTTATATCGGGACCTAAGCTAAAGTCTCACCACATGTAGATGATGCTAGAAGTACGTTTAGTCCCAATAACAGACCATGGGGATTCGAACATGGGCCTTGTCTAACTAGATTCCAAACCCTATTGGTCCAACCAAAAGTTTGTTGTCAAAGCAAATGTATACAATAAAGCCCAATCTTGTTCGTGAAACCAATACTGCTGTTAGGGAAAAAATGTTTGGGCTTTGCATTGTCGAAAATACTACGTAGATAAATTGGGCTTTCCATTGGTCTAGAGTAATTCTTTTTCGAAACAATCGTTAATCTATCAAAGATCCAAGTCCAACGATTGTCTCATTGTCACTGTTTTTTGAAACAACACGCATCATTTGATAAGTTAGTGTCCAAAAATTTATTTATAATTCCTATTGAAAAGCACAGAAGAGTTGTTTGGTTAATGATGTTTTCTGAGACTTGATAGCAGGGAATTTTCGAAGGGAAAATGACGGCCCAGGACGTGTTTCGATAATTAATACATGTCAAGGACATGCTGAGAACATTAACAAATGTTCTCAGCATGTCCTTGACATGTATTAATTATCGAAACACGTCCAAACACCATGGAATGGTTACTTTAATAATTTTGCACAAGGCAATGAGTACAATGCCAGGATGATGGCTGTTGGCAAAATGTTGTGGAAAAAGTGATTTTGAGAAAGAAAAAGAAAAAAAAAGAGAAAGCCAAGTCTCTACATATGGCAATAAATGAAAATCTAAGCTCGTAAATTACATAAAGGATCGATAGCTACGAAAAACCACATCCACCAAATATTCATTGGAAATTAATAGTATTAAACTAAGAGACTTATATCTCACAATGACATGACGGTCAATTATCTGGTGGGTTGTAGTGTTGAATACAGGGTCATACAGACTACTAATGGACAGAACTTATATACACCAGCTGTAGCTCCAATTTTTTGTCGCATGGTGTCAGGCGACCCCATGGCTAATAGGCTGGCGTCGCCTCTGCAAGTAGCTTCATAACTTGTATTTTTTATACATAATAAGCTAAACGAACTGAGTCCTAAACTTGTTCAAGTTTGGCTTGAAATCTTAACGAGCTTCAAAAAAATGCTCAAGTTTTGTTTGTTTATGTAAAAAATCAATCTTAAAACAAGTTTTTAAATAACCAACACGAACTCAAATTTGAATACTTAGTTTGTTGAGCAGCCCTACATGCATCTGCCTGACTTCTCATCATTAGTCATGCTTTCGATCAAGATATATATATATATATATATTCTATCGGTGTTCTTGTATTCATGAATGTCGACCTACCATTACTACAAAGTTTTCCGGTGTGTAATGAGACAACTTTTTTTTGGGCAAGATACAAAGGGGCATACCCCATACTACATCACAAAAAAACAGACCCAAACTACACAAAAAAAAAAAAAAAAAACCTGGGCTATACAAACAGCTCAAAGCAAAATTTTCCCAAAAATATTCCAGGCTTTACAAAGGTCTCGATTAACACTATTGCTGTCTACTTTTTGCCAAGAACAGACTCTATCCCGAACATCAAGAACAAGCTGCTCCATAGTGCCTTCAAGATTAGGGTGTTGCGAAAAATGCACTCATTCCTAGCCTTCCATATGTAATGCACAGAACCAGCTATGGCTAACTTGTACAGCGCTGAAGGAAAACCCTTTTTCTTTCGATGATGGATTGCCCAGGCTATCTCCTGATCCCACTCTACTGGACACCGACGAACTCCAAATTTTTCAAGGACTCTGGACCAAATTTGGGATGAGAATGAACAAGTGAAGAATAAGTACCCATGAGACTCAGCCACACTACCACACAGTACACACATAGGATCCATTACCAATCTCCAGGATAGGAGTCTATCCTTAGTTGAAAGCCTGCCCCAACATACTAGCCCCATAATGAAAGCCCATTTGGGTACGTATGTTTTGTTTGAACAAAATAATTGAAGCCCAAGGCACCTATAAGCACCTTTGTACTAGGAGTTCTCAGAGCTCCCAAGCAGATTTGACAGAATATGTACCAGTAGAAACAGGAACCCAAACTACAGAATCCTCAATTGAGATGTTAGGCCTCAAGGAGTAATGTAATGAGACAACTTATAGATGCCAAAACAAAAGATTAAGCACCCAAATTGGGAGTGACGGTGTCCCAGCACATGAGACCAATAAATATGGTAGGTCACGACTGGACTCAATATTCATGTCTGGGGCGCTTCTCTAACCACACACATAAATATTTACCCGAAAAGCCACCCACATAAATAGTGGTTGTGGACCTGTGGTTGGTCATATGTGCAATGAGTAGGATCAAAGAAAATTATGTGCATTCAATGTACGCACTTTTTTGTTTGGATATGTCGGTCCATTTGAGGTTCCATAATAATTTGCTTCCGCCCAAGTAGCTGTTGTTTTTTATTCAGATGTCCGGATCAGTTTACGTGCACAATTCAACTGGTTTTGGAGGTCAATTTCACCGTTCACTTGTGAGGAGTTCAATTAAAGCCAAAGTGAAGCTCTGTATGGACTGACCTCGAACGAATAGATAACACCTGAGAGGTTTTGAACCTGAGAACTTACGAATGACCAAATCCCTAAGTCGTAGACGAACACGCCTTGGGTGATACTTGTCGGTTTTTTTCAATCTTAATTATGCCTGGATCCGTGGCCCATTTTTGGAATCCTGTATTTAATGACAAACCCCACTTAATGTTCTGAACAAATAGGCAGAAACTCAATCAA